ACACACACACACACACACACACACACACACACACACACACACACACACACACACACTTTTGTGTATTCACTGCCATGACTTTCCGTCAGCTTGTAGAATTCTAAAAAAGATACACATGGATGCAATTTACTGCACATTGAGCATTTATTGAACAAATAATAGTTGTGGACACATGAAGATATGTGGAAGTTGGTTACTGGTGCGTTGAGAAAGAAGAAAGGGGCGGAGTCACTTTGTCAGCTGCAGGCACCTGCACCTGTGTGAGCAGAAGGAAAACCCAAAGAGTGAATCGTTACTGCTGTGAACTAAAATCGCCCACATGTCCACAGTGACAGAGAAAAGGGTCGTGAGTTTTAGGACAATCTGTTGGCAGCAAGAGCGGGCGACGGCGTTTGGAGCGCCAGCTGGAGGAGTGGGGGGAGAACACGCTTCCCCACCGCCTGCAGCCGGCTCACAAAACGCAGCCGCCCACGCCTGGCTGCTTTTATAAACTCGTTCCTGCTGACAGCACCTAAAACAAAATAAATACAAAACATTCAAAATATTAGATTTGTTATTGACTGCAGGGACACTTCGAAGGTTCTGAGGATTATATTTATGTTTTTTTTTTTTACCATTAGAACCAACCTTTTAAGGGCAGTCAGGTCCATTTGAAAATATAAAAACTAAATTCAGATCTTTTAGCTTTATTTTCACATTACAATCCATTTTAAAACTAGAAAGTACAGAGTGAAGTGTTAAAATGTTAAACTTTTCAGAGTTCATTTTAACTCCTAGTGTTATTTTTACACTGAGATAATTGACATCCAGTGTTGGTGTTTTTTCACAGAGGTGATTTTATCAGTGTTAACTCTGCAGTTAAATAAGCTCCGCCCACTGTTAAGTCTAACATTTAAAAGTTTTGCGATACCACACCTCGCAGGGTTGAAAAAAGTATTCTGTAAGGCCCCGCCCTCTTCSTCCTCATGTCAGACAAACCAGTATTTTCTAAGCAAGGGATGCTGGGTCATCTTGACTATTACTTACTTTTAACACTAACACTACTGTAATGTTAATGTGACATCCAGGATTGTTGAATATTAAACACTGGCTGGTATTAACTTAACAGTAAAATGGGTGCTAATCATTTAAAACTTTCACAGATRTTATTGTAATACCAGCAAATGTTGGCACAAATAGATACTTTGTTGGTGTTAGTTTTTTTTTTAGCATTACTTTCTGGTTTTTATTTATTTGTGACCCATCATATTGAAATGAGGATTGAGTCAAATTTGGTCTAAATGATCTAATTACATTTTGTTCATTCTGATATTATAAACACATCCAGAGATAGGACTTCATTTGTCTTGTTGATTACAATACAATAACACTTGGTCTGAATCCCAATTTCATGTAATTTTAATGAGGATTTTTTTTACATCAGTACAACGAGGAAACCTCAAATAGTGAAGATTAAGATTTCCTAGCTGGGAAGAAACAAAAACTTTGCTAGTTCACAGGGAAAATCTCAACATTTTAAGGTGTTTTTCCTCAAAATCAGGTTTTTYGRTACTACTACTCAAAAAAATACTTCAAATTTCTTTTTGAGATTCTATTTCAAATAGTCCATTCAAATGATACACTGGTAAGGTTTTTCTTGTATTTTGACAAAATGCAATTTTTGCTAATGTTTTAATCAAAACCCTATATCTGCCTTTTTCTCCTCATCCCACTTTTAGACTTAATCCTCATTTCAATAAGCTGGGTTACATTTATGCTTTAGAGTACAATATGATTTGCATGAAGGACCAAAAAAATTTTCTTTTTAATTTATCAACCTGTGGCCACTAACAACACAAACACCACATGACTCTCATTCAAAACAGAAACAATCAGGTAAAAATTGAACACAGATRAAAATCTGTTTAAATGAGAGCAATAGAAGAATGATTTAAAGACACGTGTGGTTTTATCCAGAATTTAACCAAATAACCTGGTTTTGTTTTTAATGGCGTTACTATTCATTAAAGCACTTTGTATGGTGAGGACTGTTCCCCATTGAAATGTACAACTCCAATTACAAACACAATTTGGACGCTGCGCAAAAATGTGAACAGAATTAATATAAAAACAAACTACATACAGGTTTTAGAACATGTGCTCCTATCCAGCAAAAAAAAAAAATCGGAGGTTGGATTTATAAAGTTTGCGTATGCACAAAATGAGCCCAGAAACCTGCGTACGCCACTTTTCACGCAAAGGTTGTGATTTATAAAACTCAAATTTGATGTGAAAATGTGCGGTGCCTCACGCCAGCTCTGACCCATGTGTACGCTCATTTTGGAGACGTGAAACTGTGACACAGATAGTGAAGTGAGGAATTAGAGCCACACTGTGTAATGATCACTGTCAGATATTTAATCTACCTTCAGAATCAGACTTAGATTTAAGACTTTAGCTTCGTTAACAGTACAATTTATGCTTCTGCTGATGAACCATAAGGACCCTTGAAATAAAAAACTTAAATCTTAAATAAAAGTTCACACATCTCCATCCATCTCCTTCCTCCTCAGTCAACCCTGACCCACAGRCCCCTCCCCGACAAGACTTTTCAACAGCAAAAAGCTTGGTTATAGTCACACTTTGGGTATCATGCAGGGCGCGCCTCTCGCCAGTGTGGATGTTATAAAAGGTTCACTTTTTAAAGTCCGTATGTCTCATGTGCGTGCAGGGTGAGGTGGGGTGTGGTGGGGGTGAGGAGACAGTCAGCTGCAGATAACAGCAGGCAGGAGGAGGAGGACGGGGGAGGAGAGCGGTGGACTTATTTCTAACTTTATCTGACTTATTTAATTTTATTTATTGTTTTTATCATCCTGCAGGCTCTGAGAGAAAATTAATTTGAAGCTGAGTTTTTGAAATAAATCAGATTACTCTAAGCTTCTGTAAACCTGCAAAATGAGGGAAAATCTGTGTCAATTACAGACATTCTGTTCACGTGAGCAGCTGTCAGTCAGCACCTGTCA